CAGACATCACTAATGGTAAAATGCTTAACACATTGAAACTGTGTCCAAACAAGCAGCCAGTTGCTTCCAGTGTAGCAGTCACAGATCATAATGGAAAATTAACAGAACAAGTTGGGTTTTTAATGCAGCTTTTTATGTGTGTGTGTGTGTGTGTGAGGAGGGGGGGGGGGGGGGGAGCCCCAGGGGATGCAGGTCTTGGATGATTGACATTTCAGCTGACCTCACAAGCACAGGTTTTGTGATGACTAATCTTGAAACCTAACCAGGGTGTGAAAAATATATAGTCTCGGTTGGTTTGGATCCTTACGAATATCATAAATCTGAAATCTGACAGCTGCATTTTAGCTTTAATTTCTCTTGTAGCCTCATAAAAGTCTCTTGGATTATTTTCAATGTCAAAGCGATCATCAGAGTTGGCAGTATAAAAAAAACCGGGGTACAATAGGTCTTCAGCAACCCATGCTTGCTGCATGCTTGCTGCATGTCATCGATCCCAGTTGCGTGGATCGATGCTCATGAAGTCAATCACTGGATAGTCTGGTCCAGACTCGATTATTTACAGACCACTGTCATATAGCAGGAATATTGCAAAGTGTGGTGTTAAACAACGAACAAATTTTTTTTCACAATTTTTTCAGGAGGTCCTTAAACCAAGCAAACCAATAATGTAATCTAAGGTCTAAAAGGAGGAAAACCTTCAAGTGGCGAGGACAGCGCCGTATGACATTAAGAAGGCATGGCGCCAACAGACAAGGGATCATAATCACGGCAAATTTGGGATTCTTGATACCGAGTTGCATTTTTGGCTAGGGGTCAGCAGTCGTATTAATTTAAAGGGCAATAATTTCAAGATACACAGTATTCAAAATGTTTTTTTTGTGTGTGTGTGTCTATCATCACAGTCAGCAATATTTGAGCTACATAACAATCACGGAAGTAAACTGTGAAATGATACCAAAAGATAAAATATTGTTTTTCTGTTAGACCAAAGATTCACATACATATTATTCGCCATTTTTATGAACAGCGGTGATAAAATCTCATGTAAAGGGCCAAGCAACCAATCAAGTCATCCATCCTGATCTTTTGCTATCGTTTCACAATGACCAGAATCCCCACGGTGGGGTCAGTATGGCAAATGATGTATGAAAGTTATATCTTGTCTTTGTGGGAGTTGGAAAACACAATCTGTCACAAAACACTAATTCACCCGATGCCTCTTAAACATGTTAGGGGCTGTAGGGTAGCCTAGTGGTTAAAGCGTTAGCTGGTACCGCTGATGACCTGGGTTTGATTCCCGACATGGGTACAATGTGTGAACCCATTTCTGGTATCTCCTGTCGTGATATTGTTGGAATATTGCTAAAACCGGTCTAAAGCCATACTCACTCACACACGTTAATGATTCAGGAGTTTCTCACAGAATCTGCTTTTTCTCACGTCTCGATTTTCCCCTGTCCTACATAATGTCGGAATCTCTCCTGTCATCTGTTATACCTTACATACCTAGGCCCAGTGTTATAATGTGGGGCACTGCCAGGACAGGTTAGCACGGAGCTGTGTGGCATTCTGTCACATCCCAGACCTCGTCACACTGTCATCCAGTTACCACATGGCTGATGTGACCCCGAGGTCTGCACCTCTTCCACAGCTGGCGATGGCACATACAAGCACATATTCTCCACCTTGTACCACATGCAGAGCATGGCACAACAGTAGCATGTCAGTAGCAACCATTTTGATGACCAAATGTGACTTAAATCCATGATTGGTGACCAAAATTCATCTACTGCTCGCCACTTAGCTACCTAAAAGTAAACAGGACTGGCGACAATATCTGTTGGCTCCTAAAAACTGTGGTTTGGCTCCTAAAATATTCATATTAGGAGCCGCTTGAGATAATCCAACGCTTCTCCACAAGGCCCTCCCACTCCCCACCACGAAGTTATAACACAACATTCCATCTCCCCACCATGAAGTAATAACACAACATTCAATCTCCCCACCACGAAGTAATAACACAACATTCCATCTCCCCACCACGAAGTAATAATACAACATTCAATCTCCCCACCACAAAGTAATAACACAACATTCAATCTCCCCACCACGAAGTAATAACACAACATTCAATCTCCCCACCATGAACAGTGATGAAGTAATAACACAACATTCAATCTCCCCACCACTAAGTAATAAGACAACATTCAATCTCCCCACCACGAAGTAATAACACAACATTCAATCTCCCTACCACAAGTAATAAGACAACATTCAATCTCCCCACCACGAAGCAATAACACAACATTCAATCTCCCCACCACTAAGTAATAAGACAACATTCAATCTCCCCACCACGAAGTAATAACACAACATTCAATCTCCCCACCACGAAGTAATAACACAACATTCAATCTCCCCACCACGAAGTAATAACACAACATTCCATCTCCCCACCATGAAGTAATAACACAACATTCAATCTCCCCACCACGAAGTAATAACACAACATTCCATCTCCCCACCACGAAGTAATAACACAACATTCCATCTCCCCACCACGAAGTAATAATACAACATTCCATCTCCCCACCACGAAGTAATAACACAACATTCAATCTCCCCACCACGAAGTAATAACACAACATTCAATCTCCCCACCACGAAGTAATAACACAACATTCCATCTCCCCACCACGAAGTAATAACACAACATTCAATCTCCCCACCACGAAGTAATAACACAACATTCCATCTCCCCACCACGAAGTAATAACACAACATTCAATCCCCCCACAAGCCAAATCAATCTGCCTACAAAACAAATCTTTCTTTCAAACCAAAACAACTGTAGGCAAAGGGACTATCTTGTTGGTCAGATGTCAGCTGCCCCCGAATCTTGTCTGAAATAATCATACAGATGTTGACAGGGGCACAAAAGAACATGGCCGCTTGTTATGCACAATCACACACACGAATATGTCCGCGACTGAGGTGACCCAGATATTTCCATGGAAATATTGGCGCACATAATAAGATATTACTGACAGGCACATGGGCAAACCAAGGGTCATAATCCAGAGGAATATGGAATTTGAACCCATCATTATTAGATCCTTACATGCAAAGGGAAGCAACTCTGCCCAAATTGTGGCACTTTACAAACCCCCAAACCCCATCACCCTAAATACAACAGGCACCTACACCGTGTTCGTTATGAGAGCATCAGTTTGTTCTTATTTTGTGTCACGGCCTTAATTGCATAATATGGCATAAACTGAATAACTTGAAAAGTCAACACACATTCCTTAAGTTTGTCAATTTTCCACTATGCAAATAATATCAACAAAAATAGATTTCACGATGACATAATACCTTCTATCATGTCTTACTGTAGGTGCCCCTCAGAACTTTTCAATCAAACCTAAAGTGGGAACATATTTATTTTTAAGGAGGCCAAAGGCAGAAAAGGAGTGTAACAAAAACATATCTATTCAGGTCACCTTCATATAAAACTGAAGGCCTTTCATCAATGTTCCATGGCTTTATAAACCTGATCTCATGAAAATCAGATCTTTTAATTGATTCTATATCTCTTTAACGATCTGACAACCATATCCATAGGAGACTGAGTTAGGGGAAGCCTGGAGGAATTTGACCACCCATTCTAAATGGTGGACGAATGGGTTCTTGAGCCAATCAAATGTCAGTTATCTGAAATTATTCGGCTTCATTTCTTAATCACCTCAATATTTTTGGTTTGTTGTTTAACGCCACACTCAGCAAAATTCCAGCCATATGACGGCGGTCGGTAAATAATCGAGTCTGGACCAGACAATCCAGTGTGCATCGATCCTTGCAATATTGGATCGATGACATGCATCAACCAAGTCAGCAAACCTGACCACCCGATCTCATTAGTCGCCTTTTACGTCCTCAATATGGAAATTTCTATTTAACAAAACCAAATGTACACAGAACTGAAGGATACAATTCCTTTGTTTGTACAGCCTTTTGGTTGTAGACGTCATGGCGCTCGGAAACAAGTTTAATATATTAATATCCACAAAAGCAAGGTGTGTCCTTTATTTACATTTGGAACTGCCTCTACATGTTAATTTTCAAAGATATAGAAATCCGATATACTGGTCATAATGCTAGGAGGATACTGGTATCCATTGTTTAGAGAATATAGATGCCTTGACGACCATCAACATGTTCACCTGTGTGATTCTTATGAGATTGTTTATAACAATATCTACACAGAAAGAGAGAGACAAATTTGAATAGAGTTGAAAATTAAAGAAATTCAGTTTGAGGAGCCATCACTAGTGTCTGGTTATTCCAGTGTGTAAAAGGTCAGCTTGCCATGTATTGCAAACAGATGTCGGTCACTAACTAACATGACTAAAGCCATTTTTGTTTAAGGTGAGGATAAAGCAAAATTGCATCAGTTATCAGTTGCCTGAATGCATCTTCCTGTTTCTTTAGAACGTTACATAAGAGCATACCATTGGCCTATTCGACTTTGGAAGTTTCGTAAGTCCCGCTGTTGAAATCGGCTGCAGTGATTGCGTGAGATCAGCTGTGTGGAGGTCAGGAAACTTGGTACACCTGACCCTTCGACCTTGGATATCTGTTTTGACTACGCACATGGGTCTGCATCGAATTATGCAAATATCTCAGAATGATCACAAGTCTATATCAGCTTGGAGACTTGGTAACTTTGCAAAATTGTCAGTTATAAAACCAGTGTCGTCGTTATGCAACTTCCGAACATGAGGCATTCGTGTCTGCTTTCATCAACAAAAACATTGACGGTGCATTTCGTCGTCATCTAACAAAATAATAAATCTGGATAACGTAAAACCAGGTTCAATTTTATATTGACATCCCTCTGACCAAAGATAACTTGATGCCAGTGAATTTAATACCAACAGTACGAGATTCGACTTTGCCCCATGCAAGAAAGGGGTCTTGTCTTCAGAGTAATGTCTTACCGTGGCCGTTCATTCGAGGCGCTTCCTGGTCGATCATGTCCTTGCTTTCTGTTCCTTTCTGACCACTGTCATGATCTGACTGCTGATTGTTGTCTGCGCCCGATATCCCTGCCATCAGTCAGTATATTCACCTGCCTTTCCTAACACGTGTGTGGTAGAACAAGTCCTGAAGGTCGTCATTCCATATATGGAATATAAAGTAACACGCTTTTCGTTACGACTACTAATACTAAATTGTACAACGGTAAGCAGTCTGTTGACGGTTGTTGGCCGTTGTTTGTCTCCCACCCAACCACCCCCTCTGTGAGATTCATAATAAGATTAAGCGAGGCTATATCAATAACATGTAAATGTATCTATTCGTTTCTTACGCTGATGCTATTAACTATTGATTTTTTTATTTAGATCGTCCCACGTTGATTTGTTTTGGTAATAACTAGTACAGTTTACTACAAATGTAAGCTATTCATCATTTGACATGAACAAATTCCTCAATTTAAGACCGACATCCAGAAAACTATTCTCAATTTCTTTATTCAACGTACTGAGGAGGCCACAGGCCTATAGTACAATCATGATTACAGGAGCAATTGGTACAATCATATATTTTCCTAACTTGATTTTCTTTGTATAAAAGCATGATATATGTACATAGAAATATTTCTTATGGTTTCGATGTTGCTAGTTGTCAGTAATAGTTTAAACTTAAATGTACAATGGTTTATATGAACATATTTTGGTAAGTATACTTTTCTTAGTTCATCATAATGCGGACATACTAGTAAAAAGTGATACTCGTCCTCAATTAATCCTAGGTCACATAGTGGACAGATTCTATTTTCTCTCGGAATATTTTGATATCTACCTTTTTCAATTAAAAGATCGTGTGATGAACATCGGAATCTTGCAAGTGCTACCCTAAATTGAACATATTTTGGTAAGTATACTTTTCTTAGTTCATCATAATGCGGACATACTAGTAAAAAGTGATACTCGTCCTCAATTAATCCTAGGTCACATAGTGGATAGATTCTATTTTCTCTCGGAATATTTTGATATCTACCTTTTTCAATTAAAAGATCGTGTGATGAACATCGGAATCATGCAAGTGCTACCCTAAATTTTCTAAGACTAACACTGAAAAGGTATTGCTCTGCAAAGATATATGACTTGAAACTGCTATATAACAGGGGCTTTGGTGAACGCGTTAGAGTTGCATTCCATGACTGAAAATATAAATCGTTTAATCTAAATGAAAACAGTGTTATTTGAGAAATATGACGCGTATATAATCCGTGAATCATTCAACCTTCTCTCTCCGCTGTTGTGCACATCTTCCAGAAGCAAGGGTGTCAAGTAGCCTATATCAAAGTCTAGACTAGAAAACACCAGACTTCATCCGTATTATCACGTATTAAAGCAAATGGAATTATTTTTTCAGCACCTCAGTTTGAAAATACTAAGTAAGTTCCTGTGAAATCTTGTTGTCATGTGCTCACCCAAACTGTCGTCGACGACTCGAATTTCCGACAGAGGTTCAGAGACTACTGTACTATGTTGTCATGAAAGTAATATCGTACCTGCCGTATTCTCGTAACTCACGAGCACACAGTTTACCTCTCATGTTACGAGAGGATGTGATGTAAACAAACTTCATACTCTGAATTGCACACAATAGATGCCGCACCTCAATGGCATCAGCAAAGTAATCCATCAGATTAAGGTATCACTATATTATGTTTGAATGCCTGTCGTGGAGGCTATGAAAACCAAGGCGATCGAACTACGCGATCACGTGCGAGTTATAATTTTAGATTCACATGCTTTAATTTATGCAAATGCAATTCTGTCCTCCTCTTTTTGAAGTAGATTGATAATGTTGACGAAAATTGTGACGTGACTATTTCATTTGGCGACATGTTTTCAGCGAAAACATAATTATTTTGACACATTTCTGGCAAACAGGCAAATTGTTTCCCGAATTAGCTCTTTCAAATCATTTGAGAGTGCATGGGAGATAGAAACAAATATACTGGACCGCAAAAGAAACGTCACCCCAAGTAACATTGCATGAAAAGTTGTCATTTAAATAGCTGGGTAATTTTTGTCAAAGTTTCTTAAATTTAACACTACCCTGACCGGAAAAATGAATTTGGATGATAATAAAACAAAGCATGCAGATGACAATAAAACCGATCGCCCAAACGCATCACGGTAACGGCCATGGTAACTCGATGCACGTGAGTTCCGTGCAAATTGAAATGCACATGCGTTCCCCAATTTCTTGCCCTATAAAAACCCACCCAGATCGGATAACATTCATTCGTTTTTGAATTGCTACCACATAACTTCTTTGAGTGGCATTTAGAAGTTGTAGTGATGAAGTAAGACGAGTTCTATGGATGAACAACTTCTTTATTACAATTAGTGCTACGGCTCCAGCTGGGTCTTCTTTCTTAGATGTAGGGGGCTTGCCATTGGCGCTGAGGATGTTCTGGATTGTCCTGCCTCTCTGGAATACTGTATCAATGTTGGCGTGGTGTTTGAGCAGTCTGCGGATCTGGTGGCTGGCTGTTCCAATGTCGGGAAGACTGATGACAAACGGGGCTGTCTGTTGTCGTGGAGGCCGCTCTCTAGGGCTGAGGATGCTGTTGATTGTTTGTTCAACTAGGCTGGTAGGGTAATTGTTGAAGTTAGTGAATACATGGCGGAGGTGGTTGAGTTCAGTTTTAAGCTGTTGTGGCGTGGAACAGATGTTGACAGCACGTCGGGCTAAGGTGGCGTTGATTCCTCTCTTGATTTGTGGTGGGTGGTTATAGAGGAATTGTGCAGATACTGATCCGTATGGGTGGGTTTACGGTAGACACTGGTGTGTAGTTTGTTATCGGGGTCTTTCTGTACTCTTACATCTAGGAATGGTAGTTGTCTCAGCTTCTTCTTCCATAGTGAACTGCATCCTGGGGTGTTGGGCATTCAGGTGGTTGAGGAGGGTCTTGGGTTCATGGTCAGGTTGGAGAATGACAAACGTGTCGTCGACTTTCCTAAACCAGCAGAGGGGGGTGATAGGTGATGTATGGAGGGCGGTTTCTTCTAGGTCCGTCATGTAGATTTCTGTGATGATAGGGGACAGCGGGGATCCCATGGGAAGTCTCTTCTAGGTCCGTCATGTAGATTTCTGTGATGATAGGGGACAGCGGGGATCCCGTGGGAAGTCTCTTCTAGGTCCGTCATGTAGATTTCTGTGATGATAGGGGACAGCGGGGATCCCGTGGGAAGTCTCTTCTAGGTCCGCCATGTAGATTTCTGTGATGATAGGGGGCAGCGGGGACCCCGTGGGAAGTCTCTTCTAGGTCCGTCATGTAGATTTCTGTGATGATAGGGGACAGCGGGGATCCCGTGGGAAGTCTCTTCTAGGTCCGCCATGTAGATTTCTGTGATGATAGGGGGCAGCGGGGATCCCGTGGGAAGTCTCTTCTAGGTCCGTCATGTAGATTTCTGTGATGATAGGGGACAGCGGGGATCCCATGGGAAGTCTCTTCTAGGTCCGCCATGTAGATTTCTGTGATGATAGGGGACAGCGGGGATCCCGTGGGAAGTCTCTTCTAGGTCCGCCATGTAGATTTCTGTGATGATAGGGGACAGCGGGGATCCCATGGGAAGTCTCTTCTAGGTCCGTCATGTAGATTTCTGTGATGATAGGGGACAGCGGGGATCCCATGGGAAGCCAAGATTGACAAGAAATCAGCGACACCAAGCCCTTGGGCGATTGCAAGCTGGACAAACCACCCGGCAAGTAGCCAATGCATTTCAAGTCCACGTATGGACCATATACAGGCTCCAGCAACGGAACCAGACCACCAACACAACAGATGACCGACCACGTAGTGGAAGACCAAGGGTCACCACCCGACGTCAGGATCGTCAGATTGTGCGACAGCATCTTCAAGATCGCTTTGTTACTGCTGCGGAAACTGCTCGACAGACCATGGGGACACACCAGCGACACATTAGTGCGGACACCGTGCGTCGTCGATTGACGAGCAGGCACCTCCACTGTCACAGGCCACACCGAGGACCCATTCTGACACCACATCATCGCCGGGACCGTCTTCAGTGGGCAACACAGCACAGCATTGGTGCCACCAGCAGTGGAAAGAATCCTCTTCTCAGACGAGAGCCAAATCAATCATCATTTTATTTCCAATACATATAGGCCACAGGCCTTTGTACAGGCAGGTTTTAAGCTAATCAGTTTCGCATTTCTTACTTCATTTGCATAATATAAATATTTGCTAGATTTGTAATAATATACGATGGACAAATAAGCAGGAAGTGGTACTCGGTTTCAACACAGTCTAATTTACAAAGTTTGCATTTTCTTAAATTTCTTGGGATTTTATAATTACGTCCATTCTCAATTTCCAAAGTATGACAACTCAGTTTGAATCTCTTGAGGGTTGTTTTCATATTTTGCGAATTTAAGAATGACAAATAAGGTTCACATTAATTTTAACATTAGTTTTAAAACAAGCATAATATGACATTTTTGAACTTGCAAGAAGTTCACTATGCCAGATCTGCTTTCAAACGTTGTTTAAACATATTTAGAAAAACCTTTCGGTTTCCATACATTTGGAATCTCCATACATCTCCGAACCCAAGTGTACAAAGACAATTCCTTAATTTAGTTACCCAATTGACACGACCATGTTCATCATACAGGTACAACATATTGTAATGCTTTCTTGGTAAACAGAAGTCTGGTATCTTCAGTATGTTCAGCCAATATTTCACACATCTGGTCAAAGCATATACTCGAATAGGGTATATGCAACACTCGCCCAATACAGCATTTTTTTATGCGGATAATTTTAAACCGCCCAAACCGTTTCCAAGCATATAACTGCAGTTTCCAATTTTTTCAAGATTTTCAAACCCCCAGACCTCGGCACCATACAGAAGCACTGGCATGATCTTCGCACCGAAAATTTGGAAGTAGAAATCTGGTGATAAAGGTTGTAGCGAATGTATACCTCTCAGGATAGTTATCCATACCCTTTTCGCCTGCAGGGCAATCTTATCAAGAGTTTTAGACCAAATTATTTTTTTTAATTAAAATACAAACCCAAGTAAGTATAACCGCAAGCAACTTCAACCCTTTTCCCTTTGTAAAACCA